TGTAAGTAAACCATGATTTTTTGGTAACCAGCTTACTTACAGGGTCAAAATAACTTTTAATGTTGCCATCCAATATGAGTTATGAAAATAAAATAATAGGACGGGCCCTTACGCTAACAGTTTTCTCCTTCCTTCCACAAAATATGCTAAGCCCCTACCACATGTCAGGTCTGAGTCAGGAGCTAGAGATAAAATGATGAATCGGACCCCCTCCCTGCCCTCAGACATCTCAAGCCACATGGGGAAGACAGACAAGTAGATGGGCAGTGACCACACAGTGTCCATGTTGATGTACATGTGTGCCTTCTGGTGGGGCGATGGAAACCAAGGCAAGGAGGCAGTGGACTTACTCAAGACTTCATTTCAATCACAGAGAGTCATTCAGCAATGCTGGTCACTGTGCAGAGCCTGGTGTTGCAGAAATGGACAGCTGGTCTACTCTCTTCTTTCATTGTTTATTGAAGGAGACCGACATTAATTCAACTAACATGTATTAGGTGCCGATTATGTGCGAGGCAATCCAGAATTGGGGAGAAGAGAAGACATGAGTCCTTTTGAATCTTTCTCATCTATTTGGGAGGGAGCTCAGAATCCTCCCCAAAGCGACAATGGACAACAGCAAATGTGTATTCAAGACCATGTCTCCCTCCCGGAACAGCAAGACGACCTGTAAACCGAGCTTCCCTAACACCTCCAAGATGTGAGGCTTTTGATGGCCCTGAGGGAGGAGGAGACTTTTTTATAAAACTTGTAAAATTTTATTTTTTAATTAGCTTTGGGAATATTAATACAGGCAGATGGTTGAAAAAAATTTCAAACAGTAAAACATAAAATTTTCTTCCCATCCTAGCCCCCAGGCACTCAGTTCCCTCCTGAGAGACAATCACTATTAAGCATTTCTTTTACCACCTTCCAGGAACATGCACAAATATAGGAACACTTGCCCCCCCCCCTCCGTTTATGCACATAGCTCTGCTCCTTGCTTTTTCAACTTACACAGTACACTCTGGCTGTATTCTTCCAACGACTGCATAGCAGGGGTAAACCACACCATATTTAACTAACCACCCACTGCCAGAATTTATGAGCCTTCCAGTCCTTTGCAGTAACAAACAATGCTGTGATGCTTTGGGGAGTAAAATGAGGAGGAATAAAATTGTACATAAAATACATAATATGGTCAAGGTTAAATATTCTTTTAGAAGTAGGTAGATTTAACAATCGGTAGGAAACAGATTTGTACCAAAATTCAGACCCAAATGGGCAAGGACAGTGGAAAAAGACCACAGGTCAGTTTATTACCCACTGGGATTACAAGATACAGAGGAAAGTAAATGCCTGAACCTTAGCATAATATTGTTCATAGAGGCGTAATATGGTTTGCAAGTGCTTGGAAGAAAATCAACTAGCATCAGGGGCATCCCCGGGGAAGAACAGCAGAGACACAAAGCTGTTCCCTGGATGGGAAAGGCATAGTCATCTCAGAAGGTGCATGTGCAAGCCTCATTTGGATGAAGGAGTTGTTGTCTCTGCAGGAGCACTTGGGCGTGGTACAGATTATATCCAGGGAGGCAGTAGGGGAGAGAAAGGTGGTGAAGAAAAGGAGGGGGAGTCTGGGAGTTACATAATTTGTAAATACAAGGGTTTGCATGCTTTGGGGGTTCGGCAGGGTCTGCCTTCTCCAACCTGCTGGCTGTCTCAGCCTGGTTGTTCACCACAAATTGTGGTGCTGCCTGCATGTGACTAAGCAGCTGGCACTGCTGCCTGGAGGAAACCAAGGACCAGGAGAAGGTCCACCCTCCTGGTTCTGGGTGAGAAGCCCCGGCCCTGGAGCCTGCTAGATCACCCCCAGCTTGTTAGGAAGCTCCCCTGCCTTTCTTACATCCTACATGAGAGACTCCTCATAATGCGAATGTTGTATGAAAAGTTCCCAGACGTAGAATTTCTAGCTCAACAAGTATATGCAATTTTATATTCCTCAAGGTAATATAACATTTCCTGCCAAAGTGATTCATACTAATTTATATTACCCCCCTCCCCTGCCACACCTCCTCCAACTCAGTATATTGCCAAACTCTTGGATCTTTGGCCATATGATATAATGAATTAGATCTGAAAAACAAAGTCTTAATTTGCATTTCTCTTATTATGAGAGAGGCTGAGTATCTTTTCTTAGGTTTAAAAGCAATCTGCTAGGGTTTGGGGTTTTTTTCCCCTTATAAGCTGTTGGTTCATGTCTTTTGTTAACATGGACTATTAAGTTAATGACCTTTTTCTTACTGATTTACAGGAGCCCTTTATATACATGCATAGATAAGGAAATCAGGTCTTTGCTGTTAAGTTACAATTTCCCCCCAGTCTGTTGACTTTGAGCTCTATTTCCTTTCCAGAAATTTCATGTTGTTATATAGTCAAATCCATCACCTTTCCCCCCACTGATCTGAAGTGCTGTCTTTACCCTATGGAAAAATAGAAGAGTGGAATTCCTTCAAAAGAGAACAGAGCAAGCTACGATTCTAGTTTGGCTGGAATGAGGGGTGCGTGGAGAAAATCAGACTGGAAAGGCCTTGGCCCCCTGAGACGGAGGGCTCTGCAGGAGCCAGGATTGGCTGCAGGAATTGGGGCTGCAGGTTTAGATTTGTTCAGTCCCTCAAAGACTCCATGTGTGATCTTCCTGAAATCTGTCACTGCAGACACTGGTCGTCTGGGAAGGTGATGTCCTTGTGTGCGTGCAAAAGGGGGAGAAGGAGAACCGCGGCTGGAGGCAGTGGGTTGAGGGGGACAAGCTGTACCTGGTAAGTCCTGGGGTCTGCCCAGCTGCCTTCCACTCTGCTGACACAAACTACCCTGGTCAGCTAGCTGGGACCTTTGACAAGAAAAATGGCCTCGAGCTTCTCCCCTGAGGTCCAGCCAAATGTGTGTGGTCATACAGTCAGAAAGCCATTCCCAACTGGCTCAGGAAACTCCAGGAAGAAATCTATATATGTGGCTGTTTCTGTGAATGGCTGCAATTAAAAAGAAAGTTCAAAATGCTGAGTTGGGAAGCCCAGGTCCAAGGAGAAATGCGGGGAACCTGTTAAAGACCAGCTGGGGAGAAATGTGAGCCTTAGAATTTAGGTGCCCTGGAGGAGGGGAGACCAGGCCTTCTCACAATTATGGGGGTGTGAAAGGGAAGTGGGGGGAAGGGGCTGCTGGGAACTGCCTCAGGCATTGACCTCACTCCTGAGCTATGCCTGCCTGCCCCCCAAATATTTTATGTTAATTTGGTGCTAGAATAGAGCAGTAGAAACAATGGCTGATATCCTTAAATAATTTATATCTGTCTAGACAGTTTAATTTTTCATTCTTCAATCTTCAAGGTAATTTATGGATCCGGCACTCAAATGGTGAAAAATCTTTCACTCCTTCATGCGCTCAGCTATTCTCTTGTAAATGAGTCTCTTTTAATCAATAGGTCTGCATTCATTCATTCATTCATTCACCTGTGGAGTCAGGCAGGTACCTGGCTCCAATGTCAGTATTCCCGGTGCCATAGTGCCCTTCAGAGCCAGCCTCGCTTCACCTGAGATCTTTATTTTGGAGGCAATGTCAGTTGATGATATATGGGAGGCATTCACCATGTTTTTCATTGATGATTTTCCTTACCTGCTCTGGCTTGGATGATGGATTTTTTAATTGCAATACAATCCCCAGTGATCCCTGTGGCTGAGACAATGGATCCATCATCAGCTGCACGAGTATGGTGGTCGTCCCCATACTTATATTTTTTCTGCTCCTTCAAGGATTAGTAAGGGTCAGAAAGGGCCTGGGGCTCCCTCTACCTGCCTGAAAAACAGCACCTGTGGCTGCACAGATAGGCCTGGGGGAGCCCTTAGGCAGGTCACACCGGCTATTCCATGAGCCTCCACTGCCCATGTTCTCATCACCAGAGGGCAGAAAGCCCACAGATTGGGGCAGCTCCCCAGCCAGCATCCTCCAGGCCCTTACCTGCTGAACACTTCTCCACACTAGCTCCTTCCCTTACCTCATGGCTTTGCTACCTTTTAAAAATCAGGTGATGTTGCTTTAATCATAGGAGTAGGAGAAATCCCACCCAAGAAGGTCATTTTTTTTTCTTTGCATTTTTCATTTTTATAGTTGTTCAAGCTCAATTCAAGTGTCAAAATTGAATTACTGCTACCTGCAGGGCATGCCAGCTGATGGGTCTGTGAGATGCCCTTTGCCCAGAATGGCTAAGTGTCTTTTTTATTCCAACCTCCCATCCCCAGACACCAAGAGGGCTGGAGGCTGGGCCGAGGAAGCTCTGGCTTGTTGCCCCTCACCCACTTTCTGACATTGCAGGAGCTGACCTGTGGCGACCAGGTGTGCCGTCAAGTGTTCAAAAAGAAGTGATGGCCACACGGGAGGACTGCTGCACCTGTGCGCCCCACGCCCCTCCCAGAGCTCCCTGCTGGCTTGGAGAAGCAGCTGTGAGGACCTCCTGAGAGAGCCCCATTAAGACATCTAGATGGGTTTTAACAGAATGGGTGTGTAACAGTGACAGACGTATTCTTTCTCCTTGAAAGCCTGGCATTAAACAGAAAAACAAGAATTACTCCCGTACTTTGGAACTTCTTCTATTTGCCTCCCTTTATTGAGAGCAATCAGGAGAGATGACCGCTGGCTTGGGTTTGTGCACGGCGTTGTTGTGGTTGTTGTTGTTTGTCAATTTTGTTTCATTTTCTTTTTTCTTTTTTTGTTTGTTGCGGCTATGGAGAGGGGGCTGTTTTACCTAGAAGCATTCTCTGGCAAACACAGCATTGTCTACTGATTCCTGAGCATCCTTCATTTGAGATTTGTTCCTGTGAACAGCACGTTATTTCTCAAAAATTCTATTTCAAGTGCATCTGCCTTCCAGTTTGCACTTTGCCCTGAACAACCTGAGCGGAGTTACCCTCAAAAGCTTCAGCAGATCTGCTAT